CCACACAGCTTATAAATTCTTCTGAATTAAAAAGACTGAGCAAGGGTACACTTATCTATACATTTACAAAATACTATTGTTCTTCAATATAATAAATTATTGCATATTAATATGCTAAGTAATAAGTCATGCTAAAAGAACAGCTTGGGAAAATCACTACAGGTAATATTGTAGCATTTTATTCAATATTTTGAAACACATTTTTCCAAATTGACTCAGTATGACAATCTATTACCCCCTCTATTTTAAAGGAAGAAACCAGAATTATAAATATGTTTGTTCAATGGTACTATATAATAAACATATAGGTTTTTAAATAATGTCTTAATGTTCAAAATTGAAGATACCTATACACCTGAAGTTTACCTGGGATATGTAATGCATCAATGTACGGGAATCACTCAGCAGACAATCTGAGACTCTTCAATGATATTCTTGAAGTATAGTATAATTGATTTTTACTGTTATTAGTAATTCTTCATTCTCATAAATAAATCATTTACTCTCTTGTATCCAAACTAAACTAATTGATGTAGTCTAATCAAAAGGCAAATGTATTGGGTGAATGGGATAAGAAGTAATAAATATATGCCATATCCATTTATAAATCCACTTTAAAACATTTTGTGTCTTCCAGTGGAAAGATTTTCTGTGGAAATGTGCTCATGCTTTATGCTTTAAGCAAAAGTCTTCCTTCTTATTACAGTATCATATAAGTTCCATTCAAATCTACTGTGTTAAAATAACAGAGTTGTGTTCAACTTTGTTAAGGTAAAATATATCACATTTAAGAAAATAATCTCCCTTCATTTGATTAAAGCATGGCAAGTAGGGAATAGAATATTTTGAATTCATATCAGAAAGGTGGCTTAAAATGTACAAAATTCATACAAAAGAGTTAAAGTAGAAACAGATTGAAATAATTAGTTTAATAATGGCATGTGTTTTTAAAAATGTTCAGATACTGGGTGTAAATGAAGATGTTCCTTGCATCGTTTTCAAAGAATATTAGACATTTTGGACATGTTAACATAACTATATTCATTAATAAAGTAAGAATAAAACAATGGATTCACCTTGAATTAATTATAAAACTATATTTTAAAAAATCATCTGAAATTTATATATTGATCCAGACCTGAGTTATGTTCCCCTAGATTTTCCACATCTAGAAACACCAGGTACTGAAGTGTGATCCAGTTGGTTCTAGCATCTCCTGTTCTTTGTTATGTCTCCCATGAAACATTTACTCAGGTCTTCCACACAATGCAAAATGCAATTTAAAGACTGGAGGAAAAGTTAAATTCTCCATATACAGTTAACAAGTTTTATTATGTATAAAATACTAATACATATTAAATGTAGTTGCAATCAAAGTCACTTTTTAATAAATTCATGAATATATTAGTTTGAGTTTGTAGCAAACTACAAATGTACTCTAGACATCCATGCATTTATTTGAATCCAAAGTTTAAACAAGGGAAATGCCAAACATTATGTTATTGAGTAGATGTATCATTAAATACTTTATCAGGAAGGTCCAAATAGCTACAGTGAATCCTCTAGACATTAATCAGTGAATAACATTATTAGAAGAAAGGGAAATTTTGACATTTAATACATTGCTTCACTAACATTAAAAGACAAAGTTAAAATGATAAGAATGTTGAAATTATTAAAGGAAATTTCATAAGTCCTCTCAGTTAAATGGAGAAGATGGCCTACTAATGACAGATGTAGTTAGTAGATCATAGAATGCATTTCTCTTTTGCATTATAAACCAGTTAAGGAGAGTTTTGTTTTTCTTGATTCTTTTCTCTAAAACAGACATTGTGGCATTTAGGAGATAAAAATGTATCATTTGACCTTTAAACTTCTGTTTCATTAATGTAGCCACAAGCAACAGAGTCACTGAGTGACACGTTTGTACTTTCAGGCCTTTAGTACTTGAGTTATTTGACAACTGTTATGCTACTATTTGCTTTTTATTAGAGACACCTTGAGGAATGTGTTAGATTAAAAAGAGTATATAGTGTAAAGCTTAATAAATAATATAATGTAGTCAGTAAAGTATTCGCACCAGAGTTAGGTACTTTAATTGGGGATGGGGATGGAGGGGAGTGTTGTTGAGGGTAAATTTTGTGTAATTTGATTTGTTTTCTAATGAGTTATAGAATAACTCATATATTATTATATGAGTTATATATATTATAACTATAGAACTATATTCTATAACTATATATATATTATTATATATAGTTATAGAATATCATATATAATTCTAAATACCCAAAGCAAAAGAATAAAATGGAACTCTGACATTACTTTTGATGAAAAATATGTCACCTGACTTATACGCAATTTGTTTTTAAGTTCTGTCTCTACTGGTCTATGTATACAGAGTCAACACCAGTTGCTGGGGAGGAGTTAAGAAAAACAACTGAGAATTTCTTGTAAATATATATATATTTACAAGAAATATATATATATATATATATATCCACACACACACACATATATATGTGCATGTATGTTAAAATAGTTAAAAATCCATGGACAATGTAAAAAGGTGAGAAAGTGGGATACTCCCTATGGAGTTCTAGAATTACTATCAGCAAATTACTTTGGGTAAAAAGTAATGCAGATCAGATTTCTCTCACATATGGCAAAAATATTTCTTTTATTTAAAAAAACACTGTAAATGGTTAAGAAAAATCATTTAGAAGAGATATTCTATTCTGCTTAAACATTTTGAAAGTCAAAAGTCCCCTAAAATAAGATACTACAAAACTCAGGATATAGAAAAAAAATGGATGAGGTACAACACATACAAGTATACAAGGACTGCACCAAACCAACACTGGAAAGATACAGTCCCCACTAGCATTAGAAGAATGAGTGAACTAACTAACCATAAGTCTCTTAGAAGCAACACATGGGTTCAGCTATTTCAGTTAGTCATTGTATTTATTATATTGTCCATTAGAAATAAAATGTCAAGATATATCATCAAAATATAAGCAGACTATCAAATCCTTTAGGCTCAAAATATTAATGCTAATTACAAACACGCAATGTGCTGCTACAAAAACATATAAAAGATTGTACCTCCCATGATATTTGTTTACAGCCTCTGAAAATAATGTTTCATCCTTACCACTATTGTTCAAACTTTTAAAACAAACTTAATATAAAGAACATAAACATGGTCTTAATTTCTATCCTCTATGTGACAAAGAGTTCATCGCTTTTACCACCAATGAAAAGGTATTTTGCTAAGTTATAAAAATCATTCATTATTTTTTGTACACACCCAGTACCATTTGTGATTACAGCAAAGATAACAAAGTATATTATAAAAGCATGTTGTTAGTGTATATTAGATATTATAAGTATATTCCATACACATTTGAACTCATAAACATGTTTCAGAAGATATGTCATATACCACACCCAGATATCATATCATTAAATTTAAAATATGTTATGTGATCTAAACAGAAACATATCTCACTCTCCCACCTTAGACATGCCATGGATACTGATTTTGTGCAATCCACACGTAAAAGCCAACTACCACCCAGTGGAGGGAAAGAAGATCTTTCAGGGAGATCTGAGGTATACATCAGGTGGAGGTGTCAGGAGGAGAAGGGAGGGCAATGGAAAATGAAGGAGTAAGAGCCTTGTTCAGATCTAAGTGCTGCTGATCATCAATTTATATTTTCACAGGAGAGAAAATGTTTCCAGAAGCTCACTCTGCAGTGTTGCTTAGGGATAACATCAGGCTATGGATACTCGTTAATAACAAAACATTTCAGTGCTCGAGCTTGGGAGAGAGACGGAAAGAAAGGAGAGTGATAAAAAGAAGTAAAACTGAAGATGGAAGGAAGGAGGGAGGGAGGGAGATGGGAAGAAATATAGAGAACAGAGAAAATGGGGGGTGGGCAGAGAGAGAGACCTCGATCCTGTGCACATGTGTGAGTGACAGTGTGTGGAACAGTGAAGAAGTGTGTACCTTTTAAACAGGGAAAGAGAATCTGACTGTGAAAGTGGTTGTGAGAGCATAGAAGGACCCAACGTCTGTGAGGATGTGAGACAGAGAATATGTGCAGGAGTGTGTTTAAAGAAAAGAGATTTGTGAGTGTGGAAAAAATGGCACAGGAGGGTGTTGGAGGGAACATGCATGTGTATGTGACGGGGACAGGGAGAGAGATGGGAAATGTGATGGCAAAAAAAGGGATGATAAGATCACAGAATGGGGACTCTAATGAAGAACAAAAGTGAGCAATGGGCTAGGATGAAGGGTGGAGGAATGGGGTTTAAATAAGAGAATCAAAAATTAGAGAGGTGGCGATTTTTTAAAAAAGAAAATTGAGGATAAAATAGAAAAGGGAAGAATAGAAAATAGATAAGGATGGGAAAGAGGCAATGGACAGAGAAGAGAGTAAGAAGAGGGTGGGGAAATGGGACAAAAAAGACTAGGAGAAGGAAGAAAAGGGTAAGGGGGAAGAGGAAAGAAAGATAGCTGAAGAGGGAAAAATTGAGCCTAAGTGTCCAACTGAGAAGGAAAATAAATGGGAGTGGGGAGCGAGCAGTTTGAAAAAGTCACTTAGACTAGAGTAAAACAGAAACAAACCTGATAAACTTGCCAGACTCTCCAAGAGTACCCAATGACAGTAAAACAGAGACCTTGTGAATTGAGTTTCAAAGTGCCACCTGTCCCTCCTAAACCGCACACTTCACTCATCCCGGGGCTACTTGGCATTCGGGCAAAGTGCTTTAGCATCACGAGTCCAGCTTGCTACCTGCCCCAGCATAAAGGGACCACAGCTGGGGCAGAATCAGCACCTGGATGTCTTGAGATGTGATCTTTTGATAGTGATCACCACCAGCATCATTATTCGGTTTAAAGAGAAGACCAAAATTAAAAAAAAAAAAAGTGGAAAGATAGACGGAAAGATAGACTGAGACAAGTACGAAAGGCACGCCGTTCTTCCTACCTAAGCACCGCCGTGTCCCCTTTTCTGACCATCATGTTGTCCACGGCCGCCCAGGGGAAGTCCACACTCTGTCCAGCCGGGAGGCAGGAGGGCAGCAGGCAGCAAAGGCTGAGCAGCACCGCCGCCAGCCACTGGTTCGAGCAACATGCACCCTGCACCAACAGCATCATGTCCATCCCTGCTCGGGCTGCTCACTCTCCAGAAGCTTTCAGCTCGCACTCCCCCACCCCCTGGTGCTGGCGAGTCTTCCCGGGAACCAGGCGGTGCGCCACAGGATTTTTTTTTTCTTTTCTTTTTCTTTTTTTTTGATGGGTGGGTGGGTTTCTTTTCTTTCTTTCTTTTCCCCCCTCTAGTTGTTGGATGTTGTTTCTCTCTCTTTTTTGGCCTCCCCTCCTCCTCCTCTTTGCTGTCCCTCCCTCCCTCCCCTCCCACCCCCTGGCACCACACTACACCTCCTCTCGGTTGATTCTGGCCGAGTCCGGAGTGAGTCTAATTCTCGGGCGGCTCGCACACCATCTAGAGAGGAGGCGAGCGCGCCGGCAAGTGAGGGAGGAGGCGCGGTGGCGGAGGCTGGGCTAGCGGCAGCGGCGGCGGCAGCAATCACAGCAGCAACAGCGGCAGCAGCAGCAGAAGCAGAAGCAGCAGCAGCAGCGCTGGGCGCAGCAGCGGCCCGAGGCTTGCGCGCGTTGCCAAGCGGCCGTTTCCTTAGCAACCCCGCCCGGGGATTGGGGATGCAGCAGGGAGGGGGGGAAATGAAGGGGGAAATAAAAGAAAAGAAAGAAAACGAAAAAAAAAAATATCAAGAGGAGGTATATCACAATTATGCAAACTGCGGGCGAAAGAGAACTGCATCGTAAACAGAACGCTTCCCTTCCTGTCATATGCTCTGGAGTGATGCTTTGCTAGAAAAGTCTCCGAGTCGGGCTGAGGTAGTGAGCAGAGGGGCGCTTTGCTTTCTCACTCCCTTGCCTTTTACCTCTTGAGGCAGAGTAACTTTAAAGTCCTCCAAGTTGTGGTCGGCGCCATCATGATGCCGGGGACTGTGAGGTTTTGTTGTTTATTTTTTATGTTTACATTCTCTCCCTGGTGGCCGTGCTACAGTTAACGAGCGGTCAACTATTTCACTATATATATATATATTTTTTTTTTAATACGTATGGACAGGGGCTGAGGCTGCTTTTTGAAGGGACAGAAGTGGGGCTTCATGCGAGGCCTTGCGGTAGAGCAGCTGGAGTGTCTATAGGGTCAGTCGGTGTGATTTAGAGGGTGCCTCCCTTCCCCGTGAGTGTTGACACGAAATTGTTTGTGGGAGGGAGTGTACGTGTGTGAGGTATGGTCAAAGTGCACTGTGCGAATGTATGCAAGTATATAGTATGCGCGCGCTCGCGGATGCGCGAGACTAGGGCGCGCTCAGCCTGTGGGCGCGCTTCTTTGCGCAGGCGTACTGGGAGGCTCGGGGCGGGTTGGGCCGGGATGCGGAGTCGGAGAGAGGCTACAATCAAGTGTTTTAATTGTGTAGAGCCAGGCCGTCCTGTTATGTAAGAGGCACTTTAACCCGTTTGAGCCTATCAGGCGGGATGATCAGCGCATCCGTAGCTAGGCGAGGCAGGGTTATCGGGCTTCAGGAGTCACAGGGTTATATTTTTAACTTCCTCCAAACCGGGTTGGACAGGCTTCCTACTTGGTGGTGCAAACCGCTTCCCTGCCTCGGAGCCGCAGCCCCTGGGCCGCTCACGCCGCCTCTGCGAGCCGTTCTCCCGGCCCACCGCAGAGTCGGGTGCTCGGCAGGGGCCGCCCCCTTCGTCTTCTGATTCTTGAACTCGTTTTCAGATTTAAAAACATTTAGGTATTCCGGGCCGTTTGCAGATCAATGCAAGAGCCAAGACTGGAGTCAGTAGCAGTTATGCCAGTCAGTCTTGTTCAGTGAGGAGTTTGGAAAGCAAAGCCCGGAAGGGAAGGAGAGAAGCAAGTACAGTAATTTAAAAAATATGCTCACCACCTCCATTCATTCTTCCCTTCCTCCACCCCAATCCTCCTCAAGCAGTCTTTAAAGATTCTTCGCCTGACCCCAGTCCCTCTTCCCTTGGAGGAAATAAATACAACAGAGCCTCACACATCCCAAACTCGTTTTCCGTAATGCTAGGAGGCTCCTTTGGCAAAGCGCGCAGAAGCAATAGTCTCTGCAGGGGTCAGCATCCGGCTGCCTCCCCAGGCTGAGCTCTTCACGAGGCAGGCAGGGAGTCGTTTTGCTTGCCGGTAGCAGTGCTCAGAGTAATTTTTATCGCGGTTCATGAGGATATGTGGAGAAACAGAAGGGTTCCCATCACCTGTGACCACCACAATGACTGATCGAAGAGCCCCTGACCTGCATCACCTCGCTGCTGAGCTGACATTCCGAGGCTTGGCGATTAACCGAGACGTTTGTAGCAGGAGTTACTGGTGTTATTAGTATTCAAGCCTAACTCCCAAACTCAACTCGGAAATTGAGAGCGCAACAGTATTCAACCGCATTTTGAAACATCAATAAAATGTTAGTCATTTGTGGATGAATGAAAACATTTTTTTTTTTACCGTCTAGTAGGCTAAGAAAATAATCGTCAAATGACAGGCTCCTGGTAATATTGATGCCAAATACCTAGATAACACTGTTGTCTTGTGAACTGTGTTTTTCTTTCTCACATGGTACACTGATGGATAAAGCTTAAAATTATCTAGGGCAAACCGGGGATTAGAAAAAAATCAACATGTCATATACATGGACAAAACTATGCAGCATTATCGAGAATTTTCTCTAAAAATGGTCTAGATCCATTTGAGGAGAGGCAGAAGGCACAGCTTCCAGCATTGTGGCTCAGTTTAACGCTATTTTATGCAGGGATGGGGTGCCAGCATTATCTAGTACAAGCTAGGAAAAGCTTCCTTTTGTAACTGCTGTTACCCAGAGGTCTGACATGTTCAGTGATGAGGGGAGAAGGGAGGTGGGATTTCTGTGACCAGGGATGGAGCTATGCAGCAGTTTTAATATGTACAACAACCTTTCAGGCTGGTAAAAGGAAACTGGAACCAATTCTATTTAAGGGCAAAGAGTTTATTTTATTTATTTCTAGTTTTTTTATCTCAACTTCCATTCACCAATCACAAAGCATTTAACTCTCACAAAACCCATCCAAAGGGAAGCAATAAGGAAACCTAGTTTATAGATTTGTGGACTATTGGAGAGATTATTTACATATGCATGGAGCAGCCCCTATAACTACAGTACTCTTGTTCTTTTTTTGACTAGGGAGGAAACAGTTTTAAAAACTTTTATGATTTCCTTTCCCCTCAACCTTTCTAAGGATATATATTTGAGAGGATTTTACAGGGTTTCCAGTATTTGCTTTTGAGTTGCTAGATTTCTTCCCAGCAGAGACTTAAATCCTGGCAATCCTGGCTCCTCCTGAGGGAAAACCAGAATAAAAACAAACAATAAAAAATAATGAAAGAAAAGGATTCTTCCCAACTCAGCACATAGTTCTTTAGCAGAGTTTGTGTTTAAGTAAAAAGAATAGGTTACAACATTGAAAATTTTAGTGGGTGTAATAGGATATAGTACCTTGTCATAGTTTTTAGGCACTAGCATTGGAATGAATCACTACTTCCTTTTGAATCATGTGCTTTATTTTGTTTTCAAGGCTTGACTTCTAATATTTAAAGAAATGTGATCATCAGTGTGGAGTTAGTTTGGAAGAAGAAAGATGGAGCTTGATTATGGTAACTGATTATGATACTATATAGATTGGTTTGCACCCTTGTTTTTCATGCCCTATCACCTCAACATTGTTGGAAAGATAATGCTACAAGGAAGCTTCTTAAATTTTCTGAGTTTAATAAGCTTGATTTTTCTTTGGCAGTGTAAATAAGATTATTGTTAGGGAAAAATGAGAATTTAAATTCACATTTGTTTTCTGATACTGAATGAATAAACTCAGATACATTTTTCATGATATTACTGTCTAGGGAGGAGTAATTTTAGGCAAAACAGAACCCAGGATCTAATGGAAAGAGCTAACGAGATAACATTGTATTTCCTATGTCAGTCAGGAAACTTTATAAACAGGACATGTGAATACTAATAGCTCCCTAACTTGGGCCATAATTGATTCTCTATTTGAATTAAGCTAGTTTAAGCTTGGAGCACCTTATCAAATTTAACTGACCTATAGTGATGATTTGCAGGTCACTATGAGAACTAAGAAGTTCAGGGAATTTGTTGGCTGTGGAAAATCTTCCTTTATAGAAAGTCTTGTCACCCAAGGCACTTTAGACATTTTGGGATAGATAAATGTTTGTCAGTACTTCCTTGTGTGTTGGAAAATATTTAGCAACATCCCAGCCTTTACTCACTAGATGGCAATAGCACTAGTACATGCTAATAGTTGTGATAACCAACATTTCACCAGATGTTGGCTAAATGTCTGTGGATTAGGGGAGAGAGGTAAAAAATTGCCTAAGGTTGAGAACCATGCTATTATAGATACATTTCTAAAAATATACCATTTTGTTCTTTTCAAATAAAGCAGATTTGTAGTAAAATAAAATTTTTTATTTGAATCCTATAGCTACAAAAGTAGCTCCTCCTCATGATCAATAAATCTCTAAGTTTACCTGCCATGTGATTACTGACCCAGTTTAGCAAGGATGTTATGAATTTAATGGCTGATCATAAATGTCTTTCTATGATTTCTCTGTGGGAGCTCTTTTATTTAGGCCAGAATTGAAGTAATAGTGCTCATTTTAAATGAAATGGCCATTTTGTGGTTGTTTGAGTAAAAGTGTAAGTCGATGGTGAGCTTCTTTCTGGCAAGAACTAAGATAAACCTTTGTATCTTTATATAGTGACAGGTATGAGGCACACAGTCAGGAAATGACTGTTAAATAACAGAGTGAAAACAAAGTCATTTAGCTGTTAAATCACTATGTAAAAAATCATATATTCATTCATTTAACATTTAAAAAAATATCCATTAAATGTAGATGGTATGCAAAGAAGAAGTTCATGTTTGTTTTGTTTTGTTTCAGAGGCAGGCAGGGTGCAGGGATATATATGCTATTTTCAAAGCTATTATTACCATTTTCATAGAATGTCCCTGAAAAATTCATGTAAGTATTTAAACCAGAAAGAGAAGTCTTACAATAAATGTTAGTGGTTGTTTTCAAGCTTTGGCAATTATGAATAAAGCTCCCTCAAACATCCATATGCAGGTTTTTGTGTGCATGTAAGTTTTAAACTCCTTCTGTTAAATACCAAGGAACCTGATGCTGGATAACATGGCAAGAGTACACTAAGTTTTGTAAGAAATTGCCAAACTGTCTTCCAAAGTGGCT